TGTTTAGGACCTTTTCGGTTGTGTGACTTTGACGACTAGGTAGTGGACGAAGCTCCGAAGAGCCTTCCTTTGAGAATGACCCGAGTCGGGTAACTCGGTTACCACATGCCCAAAAATACTACAAACACTTGGCCAGCCAGGTTTTGGAGCAGTGTCAGTCGGTCCTACGACTGGGGGGAGCGGTCGACAGTCGGGTGCACCGCATTTCTTCTCTTGCGGTGAACCGGGACATCGACAAGCCCAGTGTCCGAAGTCAAAGGGGTCACGGGCTTCAGTTGTTGAGGAGATGGAGTCCACCGTTTACGATGACCCTCCAATTTTCGGTAAGGAACTGGAGATTCCTGTGGTACATGTATCGGCGGATGTAGGTCAACCGCTTGTCCTTCGTCGATCCCTATTATCTCCCCACACTTCTTCCGATGATGAGGGTCAGCGGCAACACCTTTTCGAGTCTACGTGCACCATTGGTTTTTCTACATTGAACCAATTTTTCTTACAAAACAAATGGGATTGAAAATATTTTAATAAAATTTTGAAATAATTTGTTAAGATTTATGTTTCTTTCCTAAAAAATTGATATAAACTTAACAATAAAAAAATTGATATGAACTTATCAAAATCTCGATAAAACATTGTTCATAAAAACATAAGAATCCAAAAAAATTAGTGCTTTCTAATTTTGAAAAGTTGCATTCAAAATGATTTTAATTTTTTTTCTAAATAATTGGATAATGTTTGACTTTATACATTAAAGAGATGAACCGATATTGTTACCTAAAAATGTGGATACTATCTTGAATGTATATCCCGTCCAGATCTCAATTTTATTTTAACATAAAATTGCATGTGGTTTTATCTAATCACATTTTTTGAAAAAAAAAATAAATTATGCAACAAAGACGGGAAGAATTTGTAAAATATTATACAACTAATTCTTTTCCAAATTTGTATCCATTTTGCACGGTTTTAAAATTAGTTTGTAATTAGAATTTTCTTAAAAATAATTGACACATTTTTTGTATAAGAATCTCCAAATTTGTTACAGAAAAAAAATGTGATTGAGACTTTGATAAAAAAAAAATAAACAATGATACGGAAAAAATGGATTCAAATTTTGGCATAAGAATCTCTAATTTGTTAAAGTAAAAAATTGAATTCAAATTTTGTTACTAAAGATTTACATGTGTTTTTATCAATATTTTCACTAATTGTCAAACATTATATTTTTTTTCTCAAACTTTCTATTAATAAAAATATTTATTTAACATTCTCTTTATATATATATATTCCTTTCATTCATAATAATAGAAACAAATAATGTTTACATTTTACATACAATAAACAATAATTCCATTTGAATCACTTCAAAAAAAATATGGAAAATTAACTTTTTGATATAATGTCTTTGTAAATTGGCACTTATTTTTATTTGATAAGTAAAATATGAAATATAAACAGATTCGTTTTTAAATACTTCCGTTAAAGATTAGAAAAAAGGTTAAATTAGAAGCTGTAAAATATGAAAACTCTCTCTGTGAAACATGAAAACTGATTTGGTTAGCTCACATGCTTTTATTATTAACTAGTACTTGACCCGCGCGTTGCGCGACCTGGTGTTAAGAAATGTTGTGAATGAATTATAATTTAAATAAATACAAATTATTTATAAAATATTCGTAGAGATAATAAAAACGTAGGTTGAAAATTTTATTCATTATATTTTAAAATATTTTTCTAA